TGATTTCACATAATTTGATTAGGGTGCTTTTCCTAGCCCCTTTCCCCACTAAGGGCAGTCAGCGCCTGCATTAGACAAATGTCGGCGACTACCACACATATACGACGGGGAGTGGTCCGTCGCGCGCGGCCCAGGCGTGAGGGCCATGCGTAGATAGGCTATTCAACTTTGTCAGCCACTGCCCCCACCCCCTGCGGTCTTCTTGAATCTCTCTTGACACGAGACCCAGGTGATGAGAGTGCGGCAGATGCAGCACAAGTCTACTATTACTATAGACTAATTTGCGTGCAAGTCATCTTCCCGCCCTCATCCTGCTGTGGACATTGTTGGTAACGATGGTAGAACCAAACAGTTTTAGTAATTTCCGATCTGCTTTGTACGTCTCTCCGATCAGCGCTTTATTTTTACAGGCTTTCATGAGGAAACTTACTTCGGATCTGTTTGCTCTGGATTGATGGCCGCGCCCAGTCTGCGCTGCATTCTGTCCTTTAATTCCCCTAAATTTCGATTGATAATCGCAGAGGTCTGTTCTTATCATAGATCCGCTCCACTCGTTTCTGACCGTATCGGGGCTGTCTACCCTTCTGTTGGGTCCTGCCAGGACAAAGCGCTCGCAAACCGATTTGACAGCCACTCTGGAGGATCTGCGACTAACGGCCGGGTCATCCAAAGTCTTCACCGATCTTCTCGACCTTATTTATGGAGTTGGTGGTGACGAGGACAAGTGCCATGAGCAACAGTCGCCTGGCACAGTTCAGGGTCTGGAGTTTGTCGTTCCCGAATTGAATATACCCCAGTCTGCATTGGATAGGCTTAAGGAGATCCATCGACGGTGGCGTTCGATAGAAGGCGCTGGCTTGGCTTCCTGGCAGCGTTGAACGCTAAGTATTTATTGTGATTCGGAAGTCCGAGTGGTCTTTAGTTCACAGATTTGCCGCTCTCGCGTCTTCTTTTCCGGATTTTCGCATTAATTTCTGTTTTACTCCACATATTCTTACCCTGACCATCACTGATGTACTTATCTTTGTACTCTGTATAGTTGTTCCGTCTTCTAAAGACAGAAAAGAACTGCTTTTGACGCCGGCCTTCTGAAGACTTCTGTTCTGTGTGCTGCTGATCGCCATAATTGCGTTTTTGCCTGGCATATAGAGCAAGGTTGTTTACCTGTTTGCCCGCTTAATTTTGGTCGAAGAATAATTACCTAGACCTTAGACTGCAATTTTTCCAAGGCTAGGACATAAGTGCCAAAAGGAGAAGCTCGATCAGCTTCAGTGTGCCCGCATTTGAAATAAATGGGGCTGACATTCAAATCCGTCCTAAAACGTGCTGTCCAAGCTTTGCGAATTCATATGATATTTTTTGAATATTAGGGTCGGGGATGAACTCTCTTCTGACTCGAGACAACCGATAAAAGGCAGTAGTTACGGTGCACATGGGAAGGTCATTTATAGGCATGGGGGGCATAGCGAGGGGAGATTCGGCATTCGCACTACACAACCGGTCATGGACACTCGACTTCATGTCTTACAGTGCTGTCCCGGCTGCCTCGTTAAATGCCTACCTCAGCCCAGTTCTCGGATGTGACTCGTTATAAAATATCCGGCCATGAATTCTCTTCGTCTTGAATAAAAGCTTCCTGTGCCGTACTATCTGGAGAATTCATCCCCTAAGTGTTTGCAAACCTCTATTTTCTCCGTAAGCAACCAACATACCCTTGCCCCCATGAACTTCTAGCTACAGTATTGGCGAAATCCATGTCTAACACCGTTCTGACAAGGGATCATTACGTTCATATCTGTCAAAATGCTTGAGCCTTATCTCGAAGTCATAATATCCCCAATTAACGCTTTCCCGGATGTTCGAATAAATCCTTCGTACATCTGTCGACAGGTCTCATTTAGGGCCCTTCGCAATGGCCTTCTTCCACTGTTTCCGTGGCTGAAACTTCCCGTCCTACCTCGTAACTGTAGCGGACGGGTCTCAATGCCCCCACCTCCACAACCACCTCAGCCAGGGGAGTGCTGCATGTCCGGTTGCTTCAATTGCGTCTGGCTGGAGTACGCTGAGTCCCTACTACAGTATCACCTACAGCACCAACCTGATGAGATGTCGGAGGCTACTTTTGACGGCATCAGAAGCAAACTGGCGGCCGTCGAGGACCCGGTCATACGAGAGTTTCTCCTCTCCGAGCTAAACATGCGATTTGACAGGTACTCGGCGTCAGATTCTAGAAGGCAGAAGAAACCTACTGACAGCTAATTTTGTTCCCTATCGCTACCTCAGGCATATGCATATTTCTATAGCATTCAATTTCCTATCTTCTAAAATAGATTTGGACAGAAAATGCCAAGGTATCCATTTTCGTTCAATTCCTCCGAAAGACGCATTCTTTGCGGAGCGAAAAGATTTGGGACATTAAGCCAAGCATCCGAGTTTAAGTGCTTTTTGAGGAACCCTTTTCCCATTGACTCCAGTGTTGGCCCTCTGATTTTCATTTGGTGTCTTTACGGGGTCAAAGCCATCAGCGCGGTCGGGCGAACTCGGTCAAGACAGAAGTTTGAGGGGTTAACGATCAGGGACTTAGTAAACTAAGCCATCATGTCAAATCCCCGCCAACTCAGCTATACAGCTGGCCACGATCGGTGTCGAATTTTTAGGGAGCGATCAAACAGTTGACCACAGAACTCTATCCTGCGTAGAGGTAGCACTCTACATGGCGTCGCCGATACTTGGGCCCACACATGATGACCTCCACTACCATTTACACTATGTTGTTGTCCACTCCTTTACCAGTCGCGTTGATTCCTACCACCCGCGACGGCGACTCGCCGTCCATGGGTGGCGATAACGACTCAACCGCCGCTGTTACTCTAGTTTTAAGGAGGGACATTTTTAACTGAAAACCAAGACCAGACACTCGGACTTTTAGGATAAGCATAAATGTTTGACTGGCGAATAAGCTCTCGGCACAGCAGGCAAGCCCAGATGGGGTGCTTCAAATCAGGCTTAGCGACCAGCATCGGGAATAATGGGAACGGTATGTTAGTCCGACCCCTAGAACTCGAAACAACCAACGCACTTGGTGGTAGCCTATCGGGAACCCCCGCGCGCCAACAAGAAGACCCTGGAACGGAGTCCTCCGAATCCGGGCATCACGTATGCTCTGGCCCGAGAGCTCGTAGACAGCCTTCCTATTAGGGGGTTTTAAAATGCGGCACGTGGGGTAGGATGCGAGTTCTACTTTCGCCGGAGACCAAAACAGAAACGGGCTTTCCTTACAGCCAGTGTGCGGCGTGAGCCGGCGAAACACCACTGAAATTATTGTGTTTTACTGTCATCCGGTCAGCCGCACCTAGGCTTCCTGCGAGGGGGCCAGGGCCAGCACAAGTCGAGATGCGTCGCAACTTTTCGGCCACACGAAAGCCAAAATCGATAGCGGGAAGCCTCTGGATATCGAGGCCAGTAAGCGTCACCGGACAATGTCATCTAGTTCATCAGACAAACGAGTTCTCGCAGCTAGAATCCTAAAGAATCGCCAGATGTCTATTTGGCAGGGAGTCCGTAATTCAATATCAGAAAGCCCTCCAAGCCCCTTGACAGGGTGAAGCAGATGTAGTGCTGCGAAGGCGACTGCTCCATCTATTATCATATAAAATAACCGTCCCGGAAAATGATTTACTCACTATCAACCAACGTTAGCACAGGCCCTTTTCGCCTTTGTGAAAGTGGCCTGTGCGACCGAAGTCATAAATGCGCAAACTAGTCTTGGATGTTTTGTAACTGCCTTCAAGTCGAACGAGGCCACAGCATCTGACTCGTCGTCGGGCGCGCGACATCGGACCAGAGGGAATTGTCCCCAGGTTGGACGTGACTGACTGGTTTTTTAAAAGTATCAGTCATAGCTGCCTTACTTCGGTGTCTATAGTTAAGTTGACGGAGCCGCGGCGTCGACAAAAGTGCTGTTTTTGGGGTTCACCGATACACAGCGATAAATTGGTTGTAGCCCGGCCTGTTTGGAGTTAAAATCCCGGCGAGGTGGTAAAGAATGTATAACAGGGCATGCCAGCATCACGCGATCTAGCACCGCATCCGTGCTACATAGTCCCAGATTATCTGACAACGAAGACACAGTAACAAATCGACAGTGGATGACTGGTGGCCGGTCCAAGTCAAGCTCCCAATGGGAAATTAGCTGTGGTGGGTCTGGAAAACCAAAATGCACTATCGCTGAACCGAACCTATTCAAATCAGGCGCAGGACGGAGGATTGGCGTTTTCCAGCCTCCTGGGGTAGTACATGGCGGACTGACACAAAACTGGCATACTAGGCTAGAACCGTTTCGACGAAAGGAGGTAGTGCAAGAGCGCACATCCAACTAGCAGTCCTTACAGAGGAAGATCCCGAATCTCCACTTTTTATATGCAATGCGTAAGCTGGAATCTAAGCTGCGACTTCCGGCACGAGTACCGCCGCTTAGAGCATATGACCGAAACGTCCCAACTCAAAAGCTAAGTCAGTAGAGGTATTTTCGACAAAAGCCAGGGGATTTGTGGCCTAAACCCGTGTTCTATTATCATCCCCTCGGGGACTTCGGGGCCATTTGAGCAATATTCCACGACCAATTTCTCAAAGGAAACGTTAAAACGAGAGCAAGCCAAGAACAAGACGTGTTCGTTCTCTGTCTGCGGATCGATAAAGAAGAAACGCTTGAGCGCATTATAAAATAGATACAAAACTGGGTGTTTTATGTAAAATAAGGGAGTAGCTAGGTGTAGAGGGGGATGATGTGGCGGCTATTACCTATCAGTAGTCTGGGCGGCCGATAAACACGAGTCAAAAATGCACGATCACAGAGCTCAGACGGGGCCGGGTGCGTTCTGCATCTACCTTAGACACGTGCACAACATTTGACCGGCAGCTGTACAGAAACTGGTGTGTTCATTCTGGCGATGACGCGGGGTGGTAGGGAGCAGAAAGACTGGCGAGATGGGTTGGCCAGCTTAGAGCCACTGCTCTGTAGGCATCATGGCAATGTCGAGAACGCGCCAGGCTGTCCAGGGGTTCATCTCGTTTTGGTCGCGACACAACGCCCATACGTGAGTCACGCGGAGCACCTTTTCCGGATCCCCCTCCTTCACCTGACCCAAGGAGTCGCGGACGCAAGAGATCTGCTGCGCCTGGAAGGTGATGATCAGCACCGGGCCCTGGTCCATCATCTTACCCATATGAACCTGAAAACGGAAGGAGACGAGCAGCCCACAGATGAACGATGAAAGCGAAATTTAACCCACGAAAGCTTTTGCAATGCAAACCAGACCGTTTAGCTCCGGGCTTGGCGGTGAGTGAAGTCGCACATGGGCGCCTATACTTTCCTCGCTCCCTACATTCACAGTTTAAATCAGAATGAAGGTGTTGGACGTACTGGGAAATTATACTGTCAAGCAGACCTGAAGAGGCTTGCGCACTGAGAGTTAAAGTGGAAGTCGGAGTCTGGGGAATCCTGGCGTCAGCCTATGAAGGCAGAACTGAAGCATCTACGAAACGTCTGGCATGATACATGTGGCTGGCTGGCTGGCAACTTAGTTTGTAAATAAATTTCCCGTCTGACAGGAACGATCTCACCAGCTCCCAAGTTGAATACTTCAGTTGGCCTTTGTTTAAGCTGTATAAAATCGACTAGTGGAAACATTGTACCAAACAACAATAGTGTGGGACCGAAAACACCGACCAAAGCCCTATTCACTTACAACCAGCGGGTGGTTCGCTGCATTAGCCGTAGCCACCATTTACGCTTATTTTCCGCATTGCGTTTTATAGGTGTGGAAAGCTAGTGGCAAAATACATGTTTGATTGAATTAATTTTTATTTCCACTTCTTTTGACCTAACTGGTACAGTTCGACCAAAGGTTCCTTCCAGCAACACCGCCTACAGGCCGCCGTTTTCATCAGCATGAGCGTGCATTAACAGTATGTAAGGTAGGCAAATGAAATAATCAACTTGATGGCTAATAAAGCCGTCTCTCCTGTTCTATCAGGTCAGATGGAAAGGCAGAAAATCAGATGTAATAACAAGATGCACAGAACATACGTCAATGTTGTGGACATCAAGAACTCGTGAGTCCAGCTTATAGCCCATCTCCAGAGCCTGTTTTATTGGTGCGGAAAGCACATTGAAGGGCTGTTTTAAGAACAAAAAATAGCATGCATCAAGGCCCATAAGAAGGAAGCGGCAGGAAACATGTATATTGGGTCAATCAAATAATATAACTCAGCTGCAAACCGCAACAAACCATAGTAACGATGGGTCTAGACAAAACCTGGGGATTATTAGCGGCTTTGTGTTCCGGCAAGAATTATGACAGTTAATAGCAACTAAACATTAATATCGCGTAGACGTAGTCGAGTTAATAGTCCATTTCCGGTCTACTACCAGACGACGGAAAACGAGCCAAAATAACCAAAGCGCCAGCAGGATAGAGCAAGAAGTTCACATCAGGTGCACGTATCCCGCTTAGACCCCCCGCTCGGGAGCCGCATTCCACCAAGTGAAATAGCCGCCTTACAAACTTGAGACCCGAAGAGGTCAGGAACGATCTGATCTAATCACAAGACGGTGGTCCTCAATAAACAGTGCTGGAAAGTTACTCGACAATGGCATTAAGTAGGGACCCAAGAGTTAGGTGGATAAGTTTACTGTACAAGTGGACACTGCCTGCATGTTTTAGCAACAGCCTGTCGTTTTTAGACTGAAACGTCTAAGAGAGTCGGTCTCACCGCTAAACACGGGATTTAGGTACAGGACTTGTTGCGCGGTTAACTGAAAGCCCGGAGATAAGATGCAACACCTAGGAAGTGGAACGGTTATCCAGATGAGACTTGGCTCAAAACCATAGCAAGGTTAAGTACTACAGACGGAAAAGTTAACTACATGCAAACCATAGAACTATATATTTAATGTAACCTATCAGAAAAGAAAACTCCGTTTAGCAGGATTTACGTGCCAACAAACTCCGGCTTCCTTCTCCTAACTGGAAACAGGAGAAGCCTTAAAATGGCACTTAAATAAGCGATATTGCTAATATTTATATTCAGCCAATTGAATGGAACTATGGCAAGGGCCATTCCCAAGCAAAAACACTACGCCGACCTCCACTAAATCGTGACCAGCGTCGCATCTTTTCCCGCTTGCTCGTAAAGAAGGATAATGAACGTCAAAACTGACAGGCAAAGCGGAAAAACCAATTTAAATTGGATGAAAAGAGAAACCTTACCGCTTCGTAGCACCAGTCCTTGAGAACCTCAAGATTACCGTGGATGATCGACTAAAGAAGGAAAAAAGGGCAATGCAACACATGAAGTATTAAGAAGGAGGATGCGCAGCGTGGTCTAAAAGGAGCAGTGCTTACAATGTTACCTGACGTAGCAACCGTTGTTTGTAACAGGTTATTCGTCGATCACAATGCAGAACAGACATATGCATGTCTTTGAGGGAGTGATTTTTGATGTCACTTACTCTTAGGGTGACAGTAATATCGTTTTGTGTATTGAAGGTGGGCTCGTTTAACTTCCGTATACGGAGTTGGCCAGAAATAGGCTCAATAACTCGGTGAGGGCAATAAATAGACTTGTCTGCCTGGAGCGCCCAATGTACTTTAAAAAGTACATTTATGCCCCGCATTATGGGCGAATGGGTACACAGCGTTCGATTACTGCAAGTACAAGCCGAGCGATCAATGCTTTATTCTCTCCAACATACAAATATTCCTTCAAAGTCCTCGTAATATCCAGTAGGAAGAAAAATGCATGGCAGGCGATAGGGACGAGAGCGACCAAAGTGAAGGAACGGAATGTCGAATGCGTCATTTAGAGGCCGGAACGACGCGAGACAACGGCGTGGAATCTGACAAAACCACTGCCCTCGGACCGCATCCCTTTTCTTAATTGACCAGTTACTTGGACCAATGAGCCGTACTGTCGACCGGTCGGTAGAGACGGGTCCGGATTTGGCTGTCAAAGCGAATTCGGATATGGCGAATGAAGAAGGTTACGCCAAATCAGAAGTGCGTGTTCTGGGAGGAATAACCTGGCTCCCTTTGAAGAAACAGTACTGATTTATGCTGTGTGGAAGTACTGCCATGGAATCTGCTCCCAATGTCATCAAGACTAACTTTCTAGCATGACGAAGCGTTGGCTCATTGATGTCACATCATTCATGGCCTCAAAAGTTCTTGGGGCAATAGATGTTCCCAATGGCCAGCTGCATTTCTAGCCCTCTGCATATTATTTTCAATGGGTCACTGCCGAAATAGCGGGACAGTAGACGTTCCTTCAACTTGAGCTCTCTGGAAAATGATAAGGCAAGACGAAATTCCATCTCACGGACAGCATGCAGAGAAGGGGTTCGGTTGCAATCATGAACCCGATATAAATTCACTATCTAATATTTACTTAACCTATCTTTTATAATAATACAAAGACGAGTTTCAAAAAAGTAGGACGCCAACATGGTTTACGCAGATTTGACACGGCCTACGGGCAGGATCCACTCTTCGACTGGCAGTGTCTACGAGAATTTGGAAAAACGTGGACAACGTGGAAACTCCGGCAAGTAGATGCGTTTGCTGAGCGAAAGGGCCATAGGCAGTCCACATTTTGGGCTACGACGGTTTTATCGGACCTGTGTGCAAATAAGCCAGCTGATTTTGTCAGAAATTACTGCGCGAACTTGCAGTGACATTCGTGAGACAAGTCTTTTCAGTATCTATCCGAAAATTAAAAATTACGGTTGTCGAGTTTTAACGGTTTCGGCGTAATAGCGGCGCAATATTGAGAACACGGACGATCAGTGCTGTATAAGTAGACGCTATGGTTAATTTGCTGCTCTCCCAGCACAACCAGTAGCTAAAAATCCAGTCGTTTATCACCAATTTTCTGCCGGTACAAGACGTGGCTGCGAATTTCGGCTCGTCCCCAGCGTTTTTCATGTTATCCCTCTAGTTACTAAGTGTCCATAAGCAGATTATAAGTGGTATGGGGTCATTCTGCTGTAAATAGGCATGCCAACCTTGAGAACAAAATCAAAGACACACGGCCCAAAAACTTCACTCAAAATTCACAAAATACGAGATCACATGCAAAAACCCGAGTGCCCACGGAATAGACGAAGTCCACACAGCTGCGTCATGAAGCGGCAGAAAGCTAGTAGAACAGGCTCCGGCGCCTGTGCTGCTAACATGGCAAATCAGTCACGATGAGAATTGAGTCATCTTCCATTTCTTATGAGTCGCAAGATAACCCTGCTTTTTGGTCTGAGAAAACCTACCCGCCTATCAAGGCAAAGAAGATCAAGATATTTTGAAAGGCGCTAGACCCCTGAGATAGTCCGCAAATGTTAATGGGAGGAACATTTCAACTGAAACCGGCCACCATTGTCAGACAACACCTGTTGTCCATGTTGGCCTCTTGAATCACGTAGGGAATGTCGACAAAGCTACACGGACAGCAGACGTAGACATAAGAGTTCAGTTGGTCGGGTTTCCAACCGCATAGTCATAATTAGCGGTACATCAATGTGGACACCCGTCCACCTGAATTTCACTCTAAGGCCGACATGCGCAGAATTATTAAAATGGATCCAAAACTCACCTCTAAAACGTTGGGGATGACTTCCATTCGACAGTATCGAATGAACTTTTCCAGAGTAAAAGTACCGTCGATTTTTGTTATTTCATCAAGCACAGTCTGAAGCTCGTTGGATGTGCTCTTGCCGCCTAAAGAGAGTACAACAAGCGATAGTAACAATGGACTGCGAAAGGAGCCCGTACCGTAGTGGTTCTCTAAACTCAACCGAAACAAGATGGACGACCGTAAGTAAATTAAACTTTGTGGGCATTTAATGCGGAATGACAATTACCGAAAAGGTCCGAAATTTTGTCAGTCACGAAGCGGAAAGAGCGAACTAAAAGATGGTCACTTTCTTCGTAGCGAGTTTTCAGGTCAAAGAACTCTACAATTGAAGACACAAATTGAGGAAGCGTTTGTCAGAAACAGCAAATCGGTAGGGGAATGGAGGAAACTGCCAAGACAGACACAAGTTAAGGATCCGTGATAATCCAGGGTGACTGGGGAAATTATGGGTAGTCACCCTTAAAAAAGGAAGTGAACACAAATAGCTTGCGTGAGTGATCCAACGTCACAAGCCATGTGTGAGCGAAAGATTGGATTAAAATAACTAATCTTGTCCCGTCTTGCGCTTACACTGACAACTGTTGATGACAAAACACAAGGCAAAAACGATAAAAAGTCCGTTCGGATATAAAAATAACTTACTTGATAATCTATTCGACAGTTTTGTGGACCGAAACACAGGAGCGCTCGCGAGAACGAAAAGTACGGGCTAATAATTTGTTGCCTGAGGAGACTTAGTGAGGTATTCGGTATCCGTACGCAAATCGGGCGTCAAGTTGGCCGGCTGTTTCATTTCTTGCGCTAACCATTCTTGCCCGGCATGGGCAAAAGGAAGCTTAGGAAGCGCTTCCTTACAGGGTAAGGTTTGATCACACCGCATAGTATCAGGCGGTGCAACTTGAAGATATTCATTGACGAGAGTTCAAGAGTAATTCCCTGGTTCTAAACCACTCCATCTCCAGATGTCAATTTGTTAACACACCGGCAGTTTAGCACGTACGTATTTAAAATACCTTACAGAGTGCTGAAAACGCTGTATTAGTATATGCATTGAGGTCATCCGGGAGAAGAGAACGAAGGATTATAGGTGGCAACTAAGACGGCGTTCTCAGTTTTCACTGAAGCCCATGCTATGGTCAAGAACTAGGGTGACAGACATTTCCACTTCTGACCTAGACATCGCCAGGCAGCCATACCAGAAATCGGATAATAGTTTACCTTTATTTAGGACAAGACAGAAACGCCCGTATTATATCTCTAAGTAATCCTGAGGCTTCCCAACCATCGTCGGCAGGACGCGATCATGGCTTAGTGGTTGAACGTCGGACTGCATTCCGGTATGAGATAAACGGCTGACGATGGCAAGTAAACCGAAGCTAGTTTTTCCAGTCGCTGTCTTTATTACGCCGAGCCCAAACGCAGTAACTCCCTACACTGGTAAATAGACGGCGGACAAACCCGTCGATTATTGACCCGAATGGTAATGGACTGACACCTCATAGTCGCAAAGAACTGCCAAACGGAGTGGTACTATTTTTTCAGCTTCTGGCTACTGAATGTGTCTACGGGTAGCAGATAATAAAGCCTTCAGAAATGCCTGTTTAGAATGAGGCAGCAGATGTTGACGGATAGTGAAATGTGTATTGGCTATCACGGTTTGAAGGGCTCGGTCAGCACAGTAACTGCTTCGCACAATGTTTGATGACGGCAGGATAACCATGCAAATATCGACCTAAAGAGTGGAGGACCACACTTTAAATAAGTCCCGCCCAAAGTTACATGACCAGGTAAGTCGTCGGACAGCGGATCCTGCAGCATCCGCAGGAACAGGAGAACCCAGGAACTCAGCCACATTGCCCGTTCGGATAAGAAGAAACGGTGCCTTCCCTGTTGGCATGTGAATGTTACTATTACGCCTTCAGTTGAGTTTACAGATGCGATCAGCGGGACAGTAAATTGTAAACGCCATTCGTACAGTCCGTTTGCCAGATGGCTAACTGTAACGAGCAATTCTTGACCTCGGCCACAGCGATGTCAATTGACAGCTCTGGTAAATGTGGTTACAGGCAGTGCGCTTGCCGGGAAAGGATGAGACCACTACCAGGGCGCCGAAAGAGAAATACTCTCTTACTTCTGCAGCAGGGGTCTCAGTGACACATTTGATCGGCATGACGCAAAAGTCACTTGGGCGATGGTAAGTAATCGCCGAAGATCACATCTGTATGCCCTCCAATTCATGCTGCCAAAATCATGGTAACCACGATGCATGTCCCAACGCTGAGCGTCTGTGCACATGTAGGAGACTGTGAGGCGAATACAGGCGAGCTCTCTACCACCACGTGGTGAGAAAACGGGCGTGGCCCATTGCTCTGCATGGCACAAATGAACGAGTGCTGGAGCAAACTACCAAAACCACAAATGCGTTTCAGCAATTATCGGGTGACAGATCTGAGTGTTGAAGACGGGCGAGTCCAACATTCCGCCCGTTCCAAACAACAGGACAAACCAGAGTTACATATAGCGACACTATTAGCCAAGGCCTTCCGACTGACGGGGTCATTCGCCACTTCGGTGAATAAGCAATCTGAAGACATCTCAGCAGCAGGGTATAACTGCAAGTGCGAATTGAGGCGTGCAAAAACCAACGAACAAAGCGCCTAGTGGGGACTGTCTTGTCACGTATATTTAAAGTTTGTGACGGTACTAGTTCACCGCCTACAAGATGTTGGACCCCAATTTTGAAGACGAAGTTGATAAGAGAATTTTTAAAAAAGGGTCAGGGACCAGCACGAAAGAACGTGACAGCATCAGACCTTCCAATGCTTTCGTCATTTCCGGTCATCCTCGCGACTTAGGGTAACAGAATCTGCGCAGGGCGTGGATGTGCAAATCACCATTTGTGGATTCACCTACATCTAGAACACTGCCCCTGTTACCAGGGACGCACTAGCACATGTTTTGTAGATTTTGCCGCAACATTCGGTGTCGTTCATCGGGTTCCTTGTGGTCAGTAGTGGCACACGTCGAAGTTGGTTTAATCCGAAACCTCTACGGTACAAACGGGGCAAGTGCATGACTAAACGCTGGAGATTTCTGATTACTTTTCGTCTTTTCGTCGATACCATTGCGCAATGCGTTGGGCGCTGACTGACCACCTTCAAGTCAACGTTGCTTACTGTCCCGTAGCTACGATTTTTGGGACTGACGACGCCGCGGTGTTTACACGATCTTTGCCATCATCAAACACCGTGCCGCAGACAGGCGAGTAAGCAGCCGGCAAGCCTGGAAATAAGGTCACTTAGACGAATATTGCGCCGAGCCTCGGTTATGACAAACAGGGCTTTGAAAGCCGTCGTCTTCGACCAAGCCTCCCACCAAACTGCTAGGATAAAATGGGCATCGGGGCAACAGGAAACACGCCGTCTTTATCCAACCCAACAGAAACCAGTGAAGCAGAAGGGCACACGGAGTGAGATGGGCCTTCATCGATACAATCCTTTTAAACGAATATGAATTATGTCCCGAAAACTCGGGGGATATATGTCGCCTGGAAGTATTTGATCGACTGGGCCAGTGCAGAATTTTCCGAATATGCCCGTCCGACTGCGTTTCCAACAAGCAAAAACGCAGCCGATTAGGAACATGACTATACGGCTCGATGAATGAAGAACCAACAGACCCGAAAACGAAAATGATCAGCGATCTTACCTTACTGGAACTCGCTCTGGTTAGCGATGGTCTCCAAGCGCCCGACTGAATACACAGGTGCTCAGAAGACTACAGAAACGTTATAAAAAGTCTAATATTCAAACTGAATTTTTAATTAGCTCTAATGCGTCGAATCAAAAAAGAAAACCTTGTCCGAATGATTGGGGAAAAACGGGTACTGAAATGGGTTGCAAACACACATTAAGCATTCTAAACAAAACGTGGATCCGACCATTGAACCAGCAATTAGTCGATTCAACAAATAAAAAAGATCTACAGAGATTTTATCCCAAATCTAATTTAAAATGCCGAAAAGGGGAAACAAACAATGTACAAATCGAATAAGTCAGAGCGATGCAAATTCCGGAGTAAATTACGTCAAAACCTGTTTAGATTACAACGGGGGAAGTATCATTAGTAAAAGGGATTTAAATTCACTCTAAATTAAAGGACGACTTTTAGCCACAAGTACAGTTAAAATAAGCTCGGTAAAATACATAAAAAATCGAATAGTAAGTTGTTTGATGACATACTTTGAACATATTGATTGTTGTCTTTAAAGTCGTCCCACGCAGAAAGCCACTTGGAATCCTTGTGCAAGACTACTCCAGATGATTCTCTATAATACGAAAAAACACCATAAACGGCAATTAAGAGTGCAACGTACAGGTCTATAACTCGAGACATTCCATCATCTACTGGGCAAATTTCATAAGTGTCAGTGTTACACATCGACGAACCTGTAGTATGCGCCCAAACTGACAAAGAATCCGCCCAAATACTTAGATATACTTTCGAACAGAAATAAATTCCTTAGGTGCAGCTATAATGCTAATTACAATAGATAATTCCAAGACAATTAGTACGCGGTAGAATGCTACCTTGTTAATGGACATTTTTCCAAACATTGCATGCATCATAATCGTGGATATTCTGTCAAGTAGTGTTTATTTGGAGACCAATTAGCACTACCCCTGTACAGGCAATACCGGAAAGCTCAGGAGCCTGTTCTACCGATTTTCTATAGTTGTATGGTGTAGTTGTGAAAAGTTCGTCCAGTCCATGGGCGCCTGGTTTCTCCATGTGGTCTCTAGCATATAAATACTCCCGTTTTCTAGTGTTGATTCTTTTGATCTCGTCAGATATTACTGCACAATTTTTAATGAAGCACTTGGGTCATGCGTTTTCGACTTTGCCCGGACGGTTAATATGCATACTTGAGCGGAATTTAATCCATTACAGTGAAACGACCACATACTATTATATTACACACGTTATACTGTAGTCTGTCTACAAACAGTTAATAACACTGGGGATGAGCTGAAATCCGCAACCTCGTTGTACAGCTAAATGACTTGCGATTCCGAGTCCGATACTTTATTTGCCGAGCGTTGAGTAATTTAACGCTCCTGTCAGTTGTGAACGGGAACACCAACTACGTTGGGAGGGTGCTCAACGATCTAGTTACGGAACACGCTCGCCTTGGTGCATTTTGGAGTCGAATCTCGAGTCCTCACAGGCAGTCGCACAGGGAGACTTTTCAGGGCAATAATTTATTTACCTAAATCTTAAAATTCTGATGGGAGCCAGTCACCAGGAGTAAACGAAACGTTTAGCTAGCATGATAGTTTGAATTTTCCAGAGATTGTCATCTTCCCAAATACATAGGTCCGGCTATTTTCAACAAACTGATCGGAACGTCACAAACTGCGGCGAAAGGAACAGTGGAGGCCATGGGGAGCGCCGCGCTTGATGGGCTACAAACTTTTAAAATGCATTATGCACGACGCTATTGCGCTATGCCTGCCAAATGAAGACGTCTTTGTCGAGACAGAAGTCATAACTCCGTTTATGTAGATAACGATGTTGAACAAAACGGAAAATGGTGTAAGCGGGGGTCTCGAGTTTTCAACATGGGCAACGATAATAGGAGGGCAGTCAGCGTCAAGCTTTTTGTACCTAAGACCTTAAAACGACGCCCAGTTGGTCGAACGTAATCATTCAAATCTAGAATTAATACGGTACGGGTACGGTTACAAATGTTTTGCAGAAAGAGCTGGCGTCTTTGTACACTTGAAGACCTGTCCTGAAGAGTGTAAAGACTATTAGTATTAAACAGTTTGTTAGTCTGTTCACCGAAACTGGGGCCTACTGATCAAGAGACCAGGTTAGCACGGAATGGGAGGCCTGGCGTAGCAGGGAATCAGTTGTGCGAAAAAGCATAGACCACCAAGTCGTTAGTCTAGTTCATAAAGTGTGCCGTACTGAAACCCGAGCACCTACATCTTGGTTCCAAGTCAAAACATCGACTAAATCCATAATTCTACATAAAAACGTGCAGAAGACCGGCAGAGTAAGTTTTCTTGGTCTAGTGTACGAAGCTTATCAGTAACAAGTGCGAACCCAACAACTTGGTGTTGTGAGTGGACCGACTGAGTACAATTCCAAGAGAATAAGCAAACGGAAGTATCTGTAAAGTGGATTATCAACGGCCCACACTGGGTGACTTCGAGGAGATTTACAAGGCTGATGACAAGAACGTTCAGTTACGACAATGACGTGCCACAGGTGACAAAAATGCAAAGGGAACTTACGTATCAGCTTCGACGATCCGCTCCTTGAGATTCCCAGAAAGCTCTTTGCGGGTTCTCGGTTTATCTTAAAAAGACTCAAGAAAGTCGTCGCGGCGTTGGGAGAAGATTTTAACAAATATCATTCAAAGAAACTAGGCAAAACATCGTTGCATAGCATATGAACTGGTCACATCGCGAGAAAGGAAACTAACCAGGTGCCCTGTACACAAGCGCTCTATCCGACTGCAGCTCCTTTTCTATAGCGGATATACTCTAAAACCGTCGAGGATGTTTGGCCAGCTTACCTCGCGTGCTGACTTCACGAACTCCGTATCGCCGATGGAGCGAGATGCATCTTTAAGCTGCTCGCCGGCCTTAGAAAGACCCTCCACACCCTTCTTAACGTACTCATGCTGAGCTATATTTGCACCCTCTTGTTTTATTTTCTCTGCGACGGAACTGATTTGGCTCCTGAGCTTGTCCACCGTATCAGTCGGAATTTCACTTTCAATTTTTTTCTAAATCCGTTATAGAGGGACACCGAAAAATACATAAAACTCCCGCATTGACTGTATTTCTTTGGACTTTTCAAGTTTTTCGGTTTCTTCGCGAAACTTTCGGACGCTTTCCTAGACTACCTTTAACGTATGTACTTCAAAAAACCTTCATTTGCCTGTCTTTTGCAGATTCTTCCTTAATTTTGCGCAGCAAATTTTGTACAAAGCTATTTCCCGACGAATATCGGGCACGGACCTGAAACCATAATGAAGAAAGTCAATTACCATGACTCTTGGACTATTGTAGACAAGAAAGCTCCGGAATGCTCCGCTCAACGCCATCCCCGCACACGCGTAGCCACGAAACCGCACACCAAGCAGCCGAAGAGAAAAGGACCAATTAGATGATCAGTTCTCCAAGTAAGGTTTACATAAGTTTGCTGCAGCCGTAAGCTCATGATTTACCTGGCAACAAAAGTCATTAAGTAGATTGTTTCCTTTTGGTCGAAATATTCAGAGGTATAATATCGAAGTGCAGAAGCAACTATGGAAAGTAATAGTTAAGAACAGGGCAACTCCAATAGGACAAACGACAGTGGCCGAAAACAATGGCATGTCATCGGTGCAGGAATAGCAATAAATAGTGTTTCAGAGCAGAGTAAAGAAACGTGCCCATAAAAAGCCAATAGAACGAAAAAGAGGTTGCATAAACGCTGGAAGAACTGTAAAAATGCCTGCAGATTACATACAGCTGTTGCTTATTCATTGGTTATATTAAGTTGCTCATCAACATAAAGGGTACACCCAACCGTTGTTGTGTTGGGCAGGTTGAAACTTGTAATTCTATGTTTATGGCGTACTTGCGTTTTGACTTTTCACTGTAAAACTGAGCCAGTCAGTACTCCTGCATGGATACGCTAAAAGTGATTCAAACCAGCAAGTTTCGACCCGGGCAAACTTGTATTCTGATTTGCCTATAGCTTTGTACTGATGGCCAAGGCATCGCATTTCTATATCTGAATATTTTTGAGATAAGCGCAATATTTTTCATAATTTGATTATCTAGCCCCATCCTCCCCCCTCTTAGATTCACCAATGCGACAATCGCACCGACAGGGACATAGCTAAACTTTCGGGTGTTATCCAAAGTGGCCTTATTTTCTAAGGTGATGCGAGGTTGTATAAGATCTCACTTCCAAGTAGTTTTTGAAAGTCCCCAAGTTGCACTTATTCTTGTGGTCCTCCTCTCATTCTCCCCATTTAAAACGAAGCACCACTCCCGCTAAAAACGATGTATGTTTTTTGGGATATCTGTTAATTCTAGTTATTAACTAAACTACGTGTCCAATGACTTCAGCATTTTTTCATTGCATTGGCACATATTTAAGGGTTATTATGTCCGACCGCAATAGAGACACTGACGCCTTTGACGTCCATTCTTTTTCCACATATGACGTTTAAATGCCACTCCCCCCGCTATCGCACACTTTCTTAAAAACAGACTTAAAAAGCTACGGAAGTAGTTAAAAGGTCCTTCCGTGAGCTCATTAGCAGTTCACCTTCCAATCATTGAAATATTTCAATTAGCTTCGAAAATGAGGCTCGCGAGATATAGGCGTAAAGAGGAAGGACACCATGCATGAACAGAACAATCGAAAAAAATTAACATTTCTGATAAGGGATCCTAGGAAGCAATCCTACACACAAACAAGAAAATGCGGACTGATACGGAAATTTAATGGCGGCGTTCGAAATTCCCGTTGGCCCTTTCTCGATGTCATAGAGTAAGTTTTCCAGGAAGGATGAGGGAAATAAAAGTTTAACCGAGTCATTAATTAGATAAAGGCGCAGCCATCGCTTAAAAGTATACAGATTATCTGAAGATCTTGTATTTATTGGAAGGTTATTCCGGAGGAAATTATACCTGGAAGCAAAAAAAGAGAACCCTTAGAGGTGGAGGAAGCGGGAGGAGGTATAATCAGGGGAGAATTGCGAAGATTGTATGGGCGACTACTAAGGGTAAGTGCAGAAATCCGAGGAAGATTTAAAATATAAATAATGCGAAAGAGGAGACAGAGGCCTGCTTCTAGTCTTCGAACCCACAAAAATTTTAGGTTACATCGCTTATATCTGACAGTTCGACCATCGATTTCGATGATGTCCACCGTATGTCCCACAGCAGAGGTCGAAGCATGGACGGTGACTTGCGCAGGGGTTTATAGTGCCAGTAGACTTGCGCTGCATCTACCTACACTCTCTCAACCTCCCTCGCCCGAGCCCGGTGTCAAGACAGAGTCAAGAAGACCGGAGACGAGGGAGGCCGCAGGTGGATGGCTCGGACACCTTGGCGTTCCACCACACCCCTGGTCCACACAACAAACAACCAGGATTTCAACCAACACAACAGCGATTTGGAGGCTGGCACGGCCGAAGCCGCACCTGGGCGTGCCGCCAACGCCTGGCTCGGATCCCACACTGTGGTGGGGGTGCCATAAATGCCACATTAAGAAGAAGCAATTGCAGCCTGACTCTCCGACCACCACCAGTGAAGGAGGAGGTCCAAGTTACCCCGTCAGTTGGCAACCTTCCAAGCCACGGCTTTTAGCGCACCGTGATAGCTTCAAGCGCGTCAGATTGATTATAGTGAGGAAAAAGTGCGCTGAGTCGTCGACCTCACTCTCCCTTCCCATTCCCACACTCCAGCCGCCGTCCGAGCCGGTCGGCAAACTGGAGTGGTAGATGGGCGCGGTGGCTGCCACGGTCGACTGACCGTGACTGCGCGCGCCGCAGCACGACCTGGCCCCCCATACACACACAAACACCAGGATTTCACACAACGGGGGTTGAACGGCCTGTCTCTCACTTGCGTGAGAGGGCCGTGGAAGGTGCTGCTTCAGCCCGTTCCCAGCCCACCAGTCCGCCACTCCACACAGCACACACGCACAACGCGACGAACTGCGTGAACCGAGAGCGGGCGTCAATCAGCAACCTTCCTATCCACGACACTTGACGTGTCGGGATAGTCTCGGACTCAAATCACCCGTGCAGCAGAAGCCGCATGGGGACCGAGTCGAGATGCACATTTCCCACTTGCGTGGAAGGTGGCAGTTGGGTGCATGCGGTGGGTGAGTGTTGATGTGTGTTGGTGATGGTGGAGGAGGGTAGAGAGTGTGTGGATGTGTGGTGTAACCGGCGGTTGTCTACCGCAGGTCGTCGTGGATGCGCATGTGGCCGAATAGGCCCATGCGATGCCTGAAGGTGCGAGGGCAGTGTGTGCAGTTTAGTCGAGCGTGGTGGGTATAGGTTGGTGCTCCAGGCACTGGTTCGCCAGTCTCTATGGGATGGATTCGCAAGTGACCGACCAGGCCGATGCGTGAGGTGAGTGTGCGTGGACAGTGTGGGCACGTGAAGTCGGCGGTGTCAGAATCAGCTACAGAGGAGGCGTTGGTGGTGGCGCAGATGGACGGTGCGAGGGTGGTGCTAGGCATGATGGGCGTGGTTGGTGTGTCGGAATTATGGTCGATTCCGCTCTCGTGGATGCGCTTGTGG